CCCCCCCCAAGCGTTTTACGAACCTGAATGGTTGCCAAGGGAGATTCAAAGATTTTACAAACAGGTATTTAACGTTTTTGATTAGGGAACAACTCTATAACGCGATGCAACGCTCAAAAAAGTCGACTTTATGTTATAATTCCCCTTTAACCATGACAGACTGGGAGTTGCTCTTGCATGCAACACCCCGTCCAATGAGTTGAGATTGAATTAAGGCTTTTAACGAATCTTTACTACGACTTTCCATAATTATGGCTAGCACTATATGCACAAACAAAACCCGTCAAGTTCTGGAATCATGAAGTCCGTTACCATTTCAGCTCTCATCTAACGCACTGAACTTTAGGAACTGGTAAGGATCAAAAAGTCTTTAATATGCGCCAGTCCATAAAACCTTAAACCTGAAAGAAGGTCAGCTTACTTTGAGTTTCTTTGACCTATGACCTTTCTGGAGTGTTGGCTGATTTATAGGTGCTGGTGCAACCAGGGGGCGAGGGGTTCTGAACAGCTATACCTACGCCTGCTTTAATCAACATCCAAACAATGCGTAGCAGATTAAATTACCGCTTCGACTTCAGAGCGGAAACAAAGCCATCGCCCCTGTTGTGTGCATCAGCACCAGATGTGACCCCTAATGTCCAGCCGCCGTATATCAACAAAGCAAATTGTCCCTCGGGGCCAGTTTAATGTCTGTTCCTGCAGCGGAGTTGGGCAGTTCTGGCTCGGTGCGGGGCAGAGTGGCCCGTGTGTGTGTGTGTGTGTGTGTGTGTGTGTTCGTGCCTGCGGTACTGGGAGGAAGAAAGGCCGAGGGTCTGTCAGAGCAATAACGCTTCATGGGCTCCAGACCCTGCAACTTTAGTGCCATCTGGGGACTCCGCGATGCCAGTAAACTCATGAGCCAGCAACAGTCGGATAAATGAGGAGATAAAAGTCCTGGAATTTTGCAAGCTCTGCAAGCTATTGGACACTTAACCTGTGCTTAAAACTTTAGGGATGGCATGACGATTGTTTCTTTTTTTGACTTCATCCACTTTTTCCTACTGCTGATTCTAGTTCAAACCAGAACAAACCAGACGTATTGCCCTTTAATATCACTTTATTCCAGAGCAAAAGGAATCACAGTCTTCCAATGCAATGTCACAGAGTACTGTACAGTATCGTTACAGAATCCATATTTACAAGCTAAAATAAATTACACAAAAATAATCAAATTACCATGTAGACTTTAACCAATCACAACTACACCTATGGTTTCCATCCACATTACGTAAGACCTTCCATCTCAGTCATAACAGTACAGAGATAAATCGTCCCCCTCAGTAGCAAATACCAGCACTCATTCAGAACTTCATAAAACAGAAATAATAGTGACAACCTAAGAAGGAAAGTAAGCAAAAAGCAGCTTTAAACTGAACAGAACCGTTTGCAGAGTTGGGAGTAAATTGAAAACCTGAACAGCTGTGATCAAAGGAGCCCAGAGATCAGCACAGTCCTGCAGGAAGTAAGAGGTTTAGAGCACAGAACGGTGAACAGACATTCAGAATGTGGCTGTTTTGGTTTCCTATTGTTCTTTTCTTCACATTAAAACGAAAAAAGAAAAAAAAAAAACCTCAGATGAGACTCAGACGTCTTCTCGCTTCGTGCGGGAGAGAATTTTAAAAATGTGCTTTGTACTTCTTAGGTGTCCCCTTTAAAACCGTCTCTCCTGTTGGTATTTGAGATGCACATGTGGGAAGACATCAGAGGTTCATCTGCTCAGTGTTTACAGCCTCTTCATGCGAGGCTGCTGCAGCAGATTCACAGGAGATAAACTAATGCAGACTGTCGGATTCCCCCAGTCCTGGAGAATTTATCTGAGATGCAACACGAAGGACAAAGGCCCAAAACCCCAAAACCCCCACTGCCTTGCGATACGTCTCGTGGCACGAAGCGCTCCCTTTACACGGACAACATGGCCAAGACAAAGGTCAATGTTTTTGCTTTCCCTCAACTTCATCGAGCAGAACTGATCTCGGATCAGGATATGACTGTAAGATCAGAACTGAGGGTGAAGAGGAGAACTCTGAAGACGGTTTGGACAGCGTCCCGGTGAGTGGCAGATGAGAAGATGCAGGTCGGCCGGGGGGCATCGAGGAGGAAAAGTCCACCTCATCCTCATCGGTCACTTACGATATCGAAGGATTACTGGAACTGGAAAACAGAAGGGGGGCGTAACATTAAAGGCGACAACTGCGTGTCTGTAGGTTTCAACTCTGCTGAAGTTTATAAGACATCCAAATACTCACTGATGATGATCAGCAGAAGAGCGACAACTACCAGTGCAATGATCATCCTCATCTGTTGGGGAAATGAAACATTTGCCTCAAAACAAAACATGGACCAAAGCCAACGCATAAGTCCTCAGATTATTAAGGCCGACGCAGATCGTTATATAATAACTGGAATGTGATGCATGGTTTGTTCTTTTTATTTCACAAACATTTTTGACTCTTTATTCCATACTTTTAGAGACTCAAAATGTTTCCCTTTCTTTGCAAAACAGCTGAGTGAGACTGGATCGAGAGCATCCATGAACATCAGGTTATAAGACTTGCCACAGATTCTCAACTGGATCCCCACACCATGACGCTGCCGCCACCATGGCCCACCATGGTAAGTTCAGTGTTAGTTTTTCACCACACATATAGTTCTAACAAGAGGTGGAACCCAATTTCCTCCTTTCTTTCTGGCTTTATTTAACACACACACACACCCAAAAAAAAAAATCTTAATTTTATTTATTTATTTATTTTTTATGTTTGTGTATTAAGATAGTCTGAAAACAGACGGATAACCCACCTTCATGTCTCTCCACCACATCCTCCTGTGCAGCTGTTTGGCTCTGCTGCTGAACGCAGACGCGTGGTCCGACAAGCTCTCTGCACCACGATGCGACCGCAGCGCAGAGCCAGGGAGCACACAATGAGAGACAACAGGACAAAAAAAGGACAAGTCAGTCACCGAAAAGACAAACAGGTTTCACTTAAGGCGTTACATACACCGGCTTTACTGCTCTGGGTAAATGCGACATCTTTTAAAGACAGCTCCTTTGGCACGGCCTCTTACATTTCCAAAATAGCAACATTTCCTCCAGCTTCCTCGTCGTAACATCTCCCCGCCGCCAGCTCGCCCCCGCGCTGCGGTCTGTTTCTGCTATATCGTTGTTAACGTGGTGTCTCTGAATGTTAACAGGAGGGTTACGGCTCCCTAGCGTGCAGCGCTGCTCACCCTCTCTCTCTCTCCTGTTTTTTGCGTCTGCTGTTTCCATCTCCGTGTGCCTGTTTACGACCCGTCGCTACTACAAAGCGACGCGCCCACACAGGGACTTCTGGGAAGGCGCTCGTTAATCCCGAGGAATTTGACAACAGTTCACCTGTTTGCGCGCGCGCGGCGAGGTGTCAGCCGGAGCGCGCAGCGTCGTTCATGTACAGACAGCCTTTAAGGACGAGAGGTCGAGACGGGCCATAAGTCACAAACGCGTCGCATAAACAAGCAGAGAAGAATGTCCTCCAGATGTGCATCGTTGTTTTGGCAGGCAGGTCAACATGACGGAGCGGAGCGCCTGTGTAGCGTGTGTGTTTGTGTGTGAGTGAGAGTGTGTTGTCGATGCACGAGACAGGAAACAAACACGTGGATTTCAGCATCGTGTCTTCATCAGTGAGGTGAAACAACCGTGGTCGCTGTGATTGGAGCCTGGCTAGTGCGTAAATGTTATGTAACGGAGGGAAGTCAACACAACAGAGAGAGCAAGAGTTGTTAAGAGTTTTCAGATGGACAGCTGGGAAATCACTCAGAACCTGAACACAAAGTGAACAGCGTGTATTTACACAGAGACATCTGCTCACTACAAGGGAAAGTGTCTTTAATCAACCATGATAATCATGCTGTTTAATCCTAGCTGTAATGTGTTATTGTCTATTCGAGACTATATGAAAACACTTGTAGGGGCTCCTTCGCAATCTGATGAAGTGGCACTTCCTTGGAACAAAGGAACAACTATTTGAAAGAAAGTTTACTCTTTCTTTACTGTTTATCTTCCTTTTACATGGCAACATGTGATGCTGACTTTTCCCGAGCAACCTTGACCTGCGGTGTGCCTCAGGGGTTAGTAGTTGGACCTGTACTTGACTTTTCTCTCTGTACCTCTTGTGTTTCTTACCACTGCTATGCTGATGACTCAGGTTTACCCTTCTCTAAAGCCAGATGATCTTCCAACTCTCAAGAGCTCCACACTCATGCTTAGCAAATATTAGCAAATTTGGAACATATTTCTAACAAAAAGGGAAAAGGTTTTTCCAGGTAGCATTAAACTATCATTAAGGTAATAAAATAATGTTTTCTGTTATTGTTGGACGGGATTCTAGTGGAGACACCTCACAAATGCATCACACTTTACAAATATTGACAAATTATTTTTGTCAATATTTACAGATCTGGTTTTTCTTTTTTTTTTTTTTTCTTTTTTTTTTGGAGGTTTGGCCAGAAGTTTTTAATATGATGAAGATGTTAAGAGTTTCCTGGCCTCACCCCAAAAGCGTCCATGTTTTAATCTCCGAACAATCTATGACTTTTTTTTTGCCTCGTTACATGCTGTTCCCTTACGCATAAAAACAAACGTCAGACTTTTACTAGATGTGTGAGCGAGCCGGTTCCCGTTGAATGGGAGGCGCTCCCACTCTCATTAAATCCATCATAACACCGAATAGTGTCGTAATCATTCACCTCTTTGTCTGCAGACAGCTCTCCTTAATAATTGTCCACATTTCCCGAACAGATCCTCCCCTTCCCCCGCACCCCCAGAAAATGTATTTTACCCCCCAACCAATCAAATCCTGGTTCTTTCTACAGAATCTCAGTCTTTCTTGGACAAAAATGATTTCTTTATGCCCGGACGTCGTTTGAAAGTGTCAATCCCAAGCAAGCTCCACAGAAGGAAAAGAGCAAAGAGTAGATTTGTAGTAATCATAGTTGAGAAAAGAAAGATTTCAAGGATCACTTCCTTTGTTAAAGCATCCAACCTGCTCTTCTGCAGTCACTAGAGAATTCGCTCATAGACAAATAGCTTTAAGAGTCATTAGATCTTAACATTAATAAATGATCGGTAATAATGTTTAGGTTTAGATCTGGACAGTGTACTGTCTAATTTTAGTTGCTTGTAATACTGTAGCACCTATTTAACTCTCTTAACTCTCGCTGAGGCATTATTTTGTTCATTCTGCACTGAGACGTCCAGGTGGTCCCGAGGACGAAACAGGACTCGACCCAGCATGACGAATCCTAAACCAGGCGGATAATGCTCTAAAATCCGCCATCTTTTGCAGTAGTTGTAACTTCAAACCTTTCACTGCCTGGTAATTTGAGGATTTTTTTTTTCTTTTTCTAACAAATAACCCTAATTATATTAATTGTGTTTTTCTCTTAAATTGGAAGCACATTGCAGAGAGTCTCAGTCCCACTCAGGCATTTCCTTGTTGACGTTGTGCGCTCTCAGGGCCCGACGGTTCTAATTGCAAAGTAAATGTTAGTAAAAACAACACAGATACATGCTCTGTGGACTCGACTCAAGTGGATGAAAAGCACAAACGACCCGCACACGCGCAAAAAAACAAAAAAAAACAAGCAAAGTACGACAGAAGGTGCGGCTCACCGGACTTGTCCTGCAGGTCATCGAGGCGTTCGCCCCTCTCTATCACCTTGGAGATGTTCTCCTGCATCACGTCAATCACCTCGTCAACCTGGGACTGCACGCTGAGGACACAAATTAAAGCAGGACACATATGGAATGATAATTAAAAATAAAAGTATATTTGTTGCAAAAATCTAGAGTTATTGCCTTGTTGAAAAAGAAGCGCTAGCACTTCTGGTTACTCCGGATCTACTGTATTAGCATTTTGAGGATTAAAATTAAAATTAAACTGAAATAATTTTCTATTTATGTGATCTCATGCAAAAGCAGATGCATAAAAGACTCCAGTCAGGAATTGGAAGGGGGTGGCATAAGAAAACAGTCGGCCGTCACAAACACCCGAGGAATTTAACGGCCCGGGTTCAGACAGGCGGACTCATTGAACAGCCTGGACTTCTTACACAGGACATTCCTGCACTCAGTAATGACGGCGTCTAATTTCACGTGGGCACGACTGTGACAGACTGCAAGGTATGGAGCGAGCGTGACGAAACAGCTCCGCGTGCCAGACGGCCTCAACAATGACCTCCTCTGTTCTCCAGCTGTCTGCGAGGTGCTGGTAAAGATCGAAGCAGAGCCTGCGCGATAAATCCTCTTGCACAATATCCTAACAACCGGCCACTTCTGGTAAACACGCCGGAGCCGCGTTTACGTAACGGCAGCTTCAAAAAGTGTGGAGCCGCTACCCCCGGCCCCGGGGTTCTACAGGGTTCGGACACTTTTCCCACAGTAAAATCCGAGCGTTTTCGAGTGTTTTCAAGGTGGCTTTTCAAACTTTTCCGGCACCACCAGCGTCTGGAGATGAAAACAATACAAATGGACTGAAGAAGAAAAAAAGATAGTTTCAATTCACTGTTATATGGCTTCATTTATTACTGTTACTAATAATATCTTGTGAGAGTATTCCACATTCTACAGCAGAGACGAGATTTGTCTCCTTTACACATGTGACTGGTCCAAGAAAACTACAAAACAAATCTCTAAATTGTTTGAGATTTTTCAAATAGAAATAATTTTGGCAATTCTAACTGGCCTAAAACAAGAGATGTTTGGTGTGATTTAACTTCACACACTGAGGGAAAAAAATGTGTGTGTCCTTTTATTATCCTTCAAATATCTGTTTTCAGTCGTTTATAACAAGTATTATCAAGCACTTTTAAGGACTTTGTACAGAAACCAACCGGTTTCCAAATCTTGATAAGACATAATTGAAATTCAATCATTTTCAAGGATTTCAGAAACACATGCATAACCTGTTTTTAGCTGCGACGAGGAATCCGTACTTACTGCTTCATTTTGTCATTCTGAGGTCCAAATCTGGGTCCAGTTGGACCTCTCCTGGAAAAAATAAATAAATAAAATGTTAAGAAAGTTAAAGTTACCAGGTAATGTTTGAGTTGGGTCACTCAGGAAATCTAAACTGCATTCTAAGATTAAGAACTGAGCTGCACAAGAATTTAGTTATTGTAGTTTTCCTCCAATTCTCACATGGTCAAATATACACCCCTACTAATATTTGGTTAAAATTCCAAACTAAAATGAGATTAACCACTAATTTTCACTGTGGTTCAGCAGGTCGGGGTGCATCCCAGAGCCTCTTCTCTTCCCATTTTCACAGATTAAAACATTTCAGTTAGCCCTCTTAACTGAGGGCTAACTGAAATGTTTTATTTTATCCAATTGTTGAACGCACGTGTGCTCAGGAGTTTCTGCAGGTTTCACCAACTCACATTTACTGCTTTTTAAGACCCCTACTAATGGAATTTATGACCTATATCTCCACAGAAATGCACCATATCAGCGGTAAAGCATCTCGCAGCATCTTCAAGTTTGCAACAGTTTGCAACTTTTGGTAGTTTCCGTTTTGTTTGTCCCAGTTTGGATTGCACGAGTGAAACTTGGACACATAGCTGTGTGTGTTCCAACCGGAAAACTATTCCAAACTGGTTTTGGAAACGGATGAAACAGGATAACGGTTCGCATCTGAGAAAGGCCCTGACCTCAGCTCTATTGAACATTCACAGGCTATGCTTCACAGAAAAGCAAATCATTTAAATGAGTTCTACAATTTTTGTGATGAAAAATGAACAAATATCCAGTTAGGGCTATGCCAGGAACTGGTTGATGGTTACAGAAAGAAAAAAAAAGCATATATTCCAACACAAACTCACAGAAAAAAGTCTTCCTCTTCATCAGAGTCTTCCTCCAGCAGATTCCTCTGTCGAAAAAAAAATAAAATATTGCGGCTCAGATAAAGACAAGATCAAGATGAGGAATCCTTAGAGTTGAGAACTCTGATATAAAAATAAAAGGTGTTTTCCCCCCCCCCCTCTAAAACACTATTTCAATGTGTATTTTTCTTTTCTTATTAACATGGATAAATTCAGTTTAGAGTTTAATAGATGAACACCCGTTTATGTGGATTGCTTTGTTTCGGGACACTACCAGGCACGCGGCGTCTCGTCTTGTCTGGCGGATGACAGGGTGTGGTTCATCCGAGGCGCTCGGTGGTGATGCTGCTGATGCGGCAATAGAAACATTTCCGTACAATACGGCTGAAATAAGCGATCGATAGGAACCTTTTTCCTTTTGCTCCTCTGAAGGCAAAGCCAACAGTGGGATCAATCTGTGATGACTGGACGTCATCTGTGCAGCTGTGCATGCCAAAGCTCAATCCCCTGAACGTCGTCTAACTCCGAGCAAAAACAATCAATATGCTGGGAAGTCAAAGTTAATCTAAATCAATTCAAGTAAGAACAATACAACATTCGTGAGATCTTAAAGTTGATTATTCTTCTAAGGCACAGTCTTGGCCAAAAACCTCTGAATGCTTTAATCTGGGCACAATCTGTGTTTTTGTGTAAAATCCTATTCAGAGAAAAAAACAAAAAAACAACAAAGCAAAAAACATCTAAACAGCTGCATTAAATACTCATAGGAGCTGACGGAAGAAGAAAAACTCAACTCTGCTTCGATGGAGTTTCTTTTATGTGTATGAGTAGTTTAGCAAACAACATTCCATTTTATAGAAGCTGCATCCATTACCGTCGTCTTCCGAGCACTTCAACGCTACAAAGAGCAGAGAGCGACGAGGAAGCACCCGCATACCTCATCAGACACCCAATGCACGTTCTACACACGCCTCATTTTCTTTGCAGGTCATCTGCAAGAAATCTGAAAAGATGGCGGCCACGTGATCGTAAAGCTCTTCATGAGCGCGAGGGCTAACGCTCTCCGTCTGTGCGACCTCTCTCCTGGTACCGGAGATGGGAGGAGAACTGGTAGTAATTATCAGAAGCAGAAAACTAGAAGGAGAGGAGGATGTTACGTAAGCGTCCCACCCCCAAAACCCCCCCCCCCCCCCCCCCCCCCACACACACAGTAAGTGTGGCTTTGATCCGAGCTAAAAACAACACAAAAGAAGAAGGGGATGGGTGAGGAAGAGGAGGTGGGACAGGATGAGCAGCCTGATGAGGAGCAGATATTTGGCCGCGAGACTTTTCTGGAGACTCCACCGCGTCGCCAATATTTTTATTGTTTGTTTGCTGCTTGATCTAAACGGCGATTTCTATTTTATTCCGTCTCCCTCTTCCGTCATCGTGCGCGTTTGCTTCTGTCACTCCTTGTTTACTCGAGCCCTCCTGACAAACCAGAACCCCAAAAACAAGTTATGTTTTTCCACTGCGTCCGGACCTCACCCTCTCGCTGCGGACGGATCCGGTGACCTCGTCGTCGTTGAGGTGTCGCTTAAACTTGGGGGGCATGTTGTCTTCGGGCTGCTCCTCCCGTTCTGGCTCCCTCTGTGGGACAGGAGGAGAAGATCACCAGTTTGGACAGAAAAGAGGGAGAGAACGGTCTCAAGAGAAAACGAGTTAGCTGTCGATGCTGCCAATTGATCTAGCGAAAACATAAAGATCGACTTATGAAGTCAGTTATTCGAAGGGGCATCTCAAGAAATTAGAACTAATCAATAATCACCAATATCGACTGATATTAAATGCTTATATTTTGATACGTTTTTCAGCCGTATCGTCCAGCCTAACCTTTCAAGGAATGAGTCTCTATGTTATGCATTACATATCAACTGAATTACTGAAATAGGTTCAATTTTGCTGATATTCTCAGAATTTGTATGAATTTGTATAGCTTTAAAATTATTTTTAATTTTACATTTTCTGACAGATTTAAAACTAAGATTTACTGGTTATAAAAAAAAAGGAAATGTCATCACTGCTCTGGATGCCACTGGGCCCAAAAAAAAAAAAAAAAACATGCTGTCCTTCCAAAAAAACATCCTTGAATCTCATTTTGGGTGCTATGTCTTCCAAAGAGGTGGGGGGAAAAAAAAAAAAAGAACACACAAACACATCTCAATAAAATCCCTCTGTGACACTGAGCTAAAAAACATGTGACCCGAGCACAACAAGCGATCATCCGAGGGGCGGGGAAAAATGCTCATTCACACACACATACACACACACACACACACGCACACCATACACACCACCCCATTTCTCACTTCGACAGTAAGACTTGTACCATTGATTCCGGTTAAGTCTGATACTTTCTTAACGTCCGTTTCTGGCGTTGCGTTTGGAAAAAAACAGCCTTTCCCCAGCCAAGAGAGCAGAGGGGAGGAGAAGCAGGGGACAGATCTGAAGAAAGTGAAGAAACACAGAGAGAAACAGGAGACTGCAGGCCGAGCTAAAGAGACGACTTACAGAGACAAATGCACTAAATTCAACTAAGTTCTTTGAAAGCTGCTACCAATGAAAAACACTGCAGAATTTACATCAAAGAGCAAAAATTGCTTAATAATTTATGCTTGTAAAATAGTAATAATTATGAGGCGTTTTACAGATAATAGTCTTACTTAAACGGAAAGAGAGAACAGAGTTTCTACACATCTTTCGTTTGAAAATTATTATTATTTTTTTTACCTTTATTTACCAATTCTGGACATTTCATTTGAAGTAATTTACTTTTAAAACACTCGTGCAACAGACAGATTATTTTCTCTGTGCGGTTCATAAAATACAAAATAACTTGATGGAGGGGTTGACTTTTGACTCAGCAGCATAGTGAAGTTCTGTTTCACAACAAAATTACGTCACTTCGAAATCACTGAGGCTCAGATTTCTCAAATCGGGACAGATTTGGAACTTTGAAATATTTATTCTCTTTGTTAATTAAAAATAATAATAATAATAATAAAAGAAATAGCTCTTCCATTGCCTTTTCATTTTCAAATGAGTGTGTGTTAACGTGAGGTCTCTTGGCCAGAAGCTTGAAATCCCCAAAAATGATGACTAATATATATATATATATATATACACTGCTCAAAAAAATAAAGGGAACACTCAAATAACACATCCTAGATCTGAATGAATGAAATATTCTCATTGAATACTTTGTTCTGTACAAAGTTGAATGTGCTGACAACAAAATCACACAAAAATCATCAATGGAAATCAAATTTATTAACCAATGGAGGCCTGGATTTGGAGCCACACACAAAATTAAAGTGAAATGTTCCCTTTATTTTTTTGAGCAGTATATATATGTGTGTGTGTGTGTGTGTGTGTGTATATATATATATAAGTGAGAACATTGGGAAAACATCAATTTTCTAAATGTGCTGTCAGCCTGCTGCTGCGCGTTCCCCTGAATTATTATTCAGCTTCATTAATGTAATTTCCCTTGGGAATTAATGAAGTATTTCTGACTCGAAGTTGAACTGAATATTATTTATGGAAACATTTAGACAAGGGGTTTCCATCTCCAGTCCTCAAAAGCCAACACGCTGCTTCAGCACGACTGAATAAATGGATGAATTGCCTGTGACGCACGCTGCCAAGTTCTGCACCGGCCTGACTTCACTGCTGAACCAGGAAAACATGAAAACATGCAGGACTCTGACTCTTGAGAACTGGAGTTGGACACTCTTGGTTTGGGTGCATGTGTGTGTTAATGGGCAGCCTCTGTCACATATAATTGTGAAGATGTTGATATCTAAAGTGCATTGAAGTTAAACGAATAAACTCATAAATGCCTCACAAAGTGTGCATGAACACAAAGCACTTGCAAGACGCATGGAAATGTTAGTCTCTATCATCATTTTTAAATAAATGTCGTAATAGAAACACATTCTCTTCTGTTTTGAGTTCATTCTCGTATGATATTTTGAGTAATATTGATTAGCAATGCTCATGTATGAGCACTAAGATCAATGTTAGTCATTTTTAACATACTGGTAGCTGTTCAATAAGTACACCTGTGCCGATATTAATGGCCAATGTTTATTTCCATCCTGTTGACATTTCATGTGTTTCTGGACGGGTGGATGTTTGGACATGTCACAGTGATAGTGATGCAGTAAAGGACTGTGGGATGTTTAACTGAAGTAAAGAAGTGATGTCAGCAGTGCAGCCATTATTCATGGTGGCAAAAGAGTACAGAAACATATTCAATATAAATAACATTGGTAAATATCAAATATCAGCCATGATGTCGATATTGGCCTAAATGTTCATATAGGTGCATCACTAGTATTGACAAAGACATAAATAATAAAAGCTCAGTTTGATTTATTCCTAGCTTTTATACAATAATGTATTTATTTCTTTAATAGATAAATCATTGTTTATATTTAACTTTTTTAGGAGGCTGCGTGTAATAAATTTGACTATTATGCTATATTACTATTGAATGTTGTGATGACAATATTGTTTACAAGAGTAAACCGTATTCTTCATCATTACTCTCATTTCATTCATCTGGATGTTTCATAGATGTTTTCAGCATACAACAATTTTTTTAATTCTTTTTTAAAACGAAGTAAAAGTTTTTTCTGTTGTTGCATCATAATGTCAAATTCAAACAGCGCTTTCTTTAAAAGATTAAATGATCTGTTGCCTGAGTGACTCTATATTCAAACATCAATTGCTATTTCTCTTTTACGTACTTTCTATTTCGTTGCTAGTGTCCGTCAACTATTATTTTAAAGGCACAATCTGCACAAATTTTCATTGTAAAGCTGTTATAGCTAGTTGTGTCGTCTTGTGAAGTTTGGGTGGTGGGATGCGTGGAGAGCCCAAAACACATCCCATTAAAAGCAGATAGTACAGTAAGATGATTGTTTTTAACCTGCGCATATACTGATTGATTTATGTCACATCACACCCATTTCAACTTTAGCTTTTCATTCAGCTTTGTTTATATTACCCTGAAAAAAACCCAGTCGAGTCTCGTTTTCTACAACACACGTAACTTATTACAGAGTTTTAAAGCAGAAATTACTGTAAAAACTAGTCAACTACAAAACGCCACAGAGTAATTACAATATAATAAACCCATGTGAACAGGCCGCTTTTAGGCTAGGCTAGGCTAAGCTAGCCTAAGCTAAAGTAGGCTAGGCTAGGCTAAGGATGCCAACGTCACCAGCTACCTGCTGTTTGTCCGGAGATCCGCTGAATAAACTCCTCCACACAGAGCTCCTGTTGCCAGTCCAGAAATTTCACACTTTTAGAGGCCTTATAGATCGCTCTAATTCATTTTACAGGCTGTCGTGAACGATGAGACACCGTAATCATTGTGGATGTTAGAGATGAGCCTCCGGTCTCTTTCCTCGGTCTGAATCAGCTGACCACACGCAGGAAGTCGCAAACAGCTGGATAAGGAGAGATTGCAGCAGATTTTTGAGGGTAACAAGATTATTTCCGCCACTTCTTTCAGTATTATTTCGTATGCTTTTATATGTTCCGGTTCTATCAAATAATATTTTGATCATTTATTGGTTTTCTGTATGTTGTAGTGATTGAATGGAGTAAAATAAACAAAATCGATAGAGTCAACATTGTTCTAATCATTCACAGAAAATACTGATGGAGTCTATCAAATGAAAAAGTTTTCATATATTACAAAATTTAGCTCATATAATTGCAAAAGCATAAACCGACTTTTTTTTTAGGTCATCTTCCTCTAAAGCTGCATGTCTGCAGTCTGATATAATTTCTGATAAATATCTACTATAAGAAATATATTGCTATGTTACCCCCATTTTATTTTTACTTTTAGGTTTTAAAATGAAGAAAAACACAAAACCTTTGCAGAAAAAAAAAATGTAGACACATTTTATTTTATGGGACATTGGTATTTGTGGGAAATTGTGTAGAAAAAACACATATTAATACAGTCAAACCTAGAACCAAAAAATTACTTATGGTTCTGGAGCCACAAGTTTCAGAACCCTGCTAGAAGCTCAATAAATAATCCAGCACTTGAGTCAAAGTATTTTAGTAGTCTGGTTGGTGATGTTTAGGTCACTACCTTAAGCCTCAGGAAAAGTTAAAGAGTAACTCACTACATTAAATCTCAGAAAGCCTTCGATAAATTATAGTTTTTTTTTATATTGCTTTCCTTCCAGATTTATTAGTTTCCATCTGTCTACCGTTACTCTGTCAGATTTTTATCAGAAAGTGTGGTGCTCCACGTCTTCCTCGCCTTTAGGGGGCAGCAGAACGCCTGTTGAACCCATAGAAACCAAAACACGACGCAGAGCAAAGTTTGAACGGGAGTGCATGTGGATATTTTGCACGACTACGCCGCATGTAAGTCAGTGTTTATTTCGGTTTTTAATGTGTTTTAATTATTTTACCATGTAGTGTTTGTGTGCCTGCAGTCAGTCCTTAATACTCTACGTGTTGGCTGATGTTTCTCTTCCTCGGCAGCTGTTTTTATCCCTAAAAGTGAGATGCAGACCGCAGCAGGAGTGGGCTCTCCTCAGCTTCGCCCTCTATTTGGCGGAGCTCTGTCGGCGGTCGTCCCCTACAACGTCACCGATATTAGCGAGCTGAGGGAGATCCCGGACAACCAAGAGGTGTTCGCCCACCCCCACACCGACCAGAGCCTGATCGTGGAGCTGCTGGAGTACCAGGGCCAGGTGGCCGACCAGGACGCAGCCAGGTACCACTTTGAGGACATCGCGGGCAGCAACAAAGCTCATGAACCAGGGGCCTTCGAAGTGAGTGACGTTGTGGCCCTACCCAAAGCCGAGGTGTCCCTGTCGGAGTGCAGCTGCGCCTGGATGCTGAAGGGGACACAGTGTGTGTCCAAGTTCAACGAAGAGGCCAGGAACACGGTGAGCATTCACTTGGGTCTGCTCCGCCTGCCGCAGTTCTCCACAGATATCCTGATGACCTTCAACGACCCGCAGAGCATCAGCCCCGACAGCAGCAGCGCCTCTGCAGCACAGACGCACAGAGAGCCGTGGACCGTGGACGACTTCCGACGCACTTTACTGTCTCTGACTTTGCACGACTCTGGCCTGTTTGGCTAGAACTTTCATCTCTTGCACCACCAGACTCGGTCTATTTATTGTTTTTCTCTCACACACGCTATAGAACATCCATGATTTTGAGAACTAGAGATCATAGTTGAAATACGTTCTTCTTCTTTTTTCCTGGCAGGCAAATTAAATTATAATCAAACTTCTTGTCATGTGGTCATGGCTTTTGTTACAAATGATGAATGATGTTTCATGTAACTCTGACCTGTGACTGACTGGCACGCAAACATCCCCTTTAACATCCTTTCTACTCAGCATTAAAAACGACATGCTCGTATATCTGAATAAGCATGATAGAAGTTCATAATTAAAAAAGAATAAGACGCTTAGAAAAAGCACAGAGTTTGTCCCACTGTAGCATGCCAGCTACAGTTGCAAAAGCATCAGTTTGTTGACATTTTGTAAACCACAAACTTCAGATTGTTTCCTAGAATCTTATGTAACACACCACCTCACGTTAGTGCATAATTGTTGAGTTAAAGGGAAATTATGTGTTCATTTTCATTTCTATTTTGGTCCCTGTAAACATAACCCAGGGCCACTAATTGACTTCAGAAGTAGCATATGTAAATTATCCTTACTAGAATGACTCCAGTTCTTCTGTGATGTTTGCTAGAGAATAAGCAACATCGTGAAGATCAAGCAACTTTAGATGAATGAGGGAGAAAGTTGTGGCAAAGTTTAAAGCCAAGTTAAGTTCTTCATTCCAAATTTTGAACATCTTACGAAGAGTTCTTTAAAATATCTAAAAGCATAAAGAGTACAACACTGAAATCCTAAAAATCCACAGTTGTCCAAAAAAAAAAAAAAACGCGATGGAAGGTATTTTGGTCAGATAAGATCAAAATAAAATTTTTGATTAACATACCCAAAGATGTAAATGTAGAAAAACTAACACTTACACTGGGCTTTTAT